ACATTTTTTGGAGGGGAGACCCCGCAAAAAAAAAATAGGGTTGGGGGGGGGGATTACCTGACGAAAGGAAATGACCCCAAGAAGGCGAACCCCCCATGCAGGAGGCCAGGCCCCCTTCCTCGGCCCCTCCAAAATGCCCGTGGGCGATTCGGGGTGGGTAGGGGGGAACCCGGTTCGCGGGAACACCCGGAAAGCCCCCTCCGGGTTTGCAAGGGGGGGGGGTAAAGTGGTTTAGAAATGGCGGCGGCCCGGCATTGGGGACCCCCCCCCCCCCCCCCCCCCCCCCCTCTCACGGTCCCATCCCTTACCCTTACGGCGTGCGTTGGTTGGCCCGTGTGTATGCGCACGCACGCACACCAAACCGCGCCGCGTACGTTTCTATGTATGCCCGGCGTTTGTCACCCAGCTCCCGTTGGGCTACCCGGGCTGTATCCTCCTGGCACTCTTCCCTCCCCTCTGGAGGGCCGTCATGGACAAGCGCGTGCTCAAGCTGCGGAGCAACAACCACCCGGGAAGGGCTTGGCGCCACGGGCCCCCTTCCTAGTGGGACAGGCAAACTATCACACCATCGAAAATTTCCTTTTAATGTACCTCGGGGTGGGGGTGGGGGTGGGGGTGGGGGTGGGGCACGGGGTGACGCGGTCCCTATCTTGTGATGCGGACAGGAGGTGGGGGCGAAGAGGATATACGGTGGCGGCGTAGTGTGTAGAGTTTTGGGTGTTGAATCTGTACGGGTAACAGCGGTGGTGCGTGGCAACGACGTGCTTCGCCGTTCCCCCTGTGGATGCATTCCTGGAAATGGTCATAGTAAATAGCTTCGACAGAACAGGTGTTCGAAGCGTTCGTTAAGAACCAAGTTTTGGTTGTTGGTTCGTGGTGAATTTCGATGGCCAAATGGTTCAGAGACGCGCTGACAGACATATGTTAGCCCCGGATGGCATCGTTTTTTTTGCTTGTTTTTTGCGAATTGGAGGAGGAAAACTCCGCTGTGCCGCCGCACAAAGCCCCACAACTGTAGGTGCGTTATATTTGCGCTGAGTACACTACTAGGTTGAGACCATGTACAAAATCATGTTTCACACTACCAGTGTACATCTCTTGGATTTCTACATGTGAAAAGCTGTGCATGGCGTGTCTGCGTGTTCTGTCGGCTAAGCTGTCCGTCTAGGCTGTTCGAAGACCTTCGTGTGCATTTCTGTCTCGTTCATCTTGAGGTGCATTGCCGCTATTGTTGCTGCCGTCGTGTTGACATTAAAGAACCATTAAGAACCATTAAGAACCAGTAAACTTTTGGCGAAATTGGCAAGATATGCATGCGAGAACCTCTCGCCAATGCCGAGAGAGAGGGGGGGGGCGCAGCAAGCTTTCAGCAATCGTTTCCAGGCGGTCTTCCCATGCTGCTACTCGCGTGTCTGGGTGTTTCCATGTCCTGATGCTCACCTGCGCGGCACACGCAGGATTTCGGCACCCGAAATCTCCTGCGGAATCAACAGGGATGTATGTACCAGGCGAATCAAATTAAACTCGTACATATGCGGGCGCGTGGTGCATGGCTTGTTTGTTAAGAAGATATGCCTGGGAGACCGACCGGTACGCCTGTGGTGCGCGTCGTATGTATCCAATTAGGAGAGGCGTGCGTAGCAGTCAAGGGCGCGCTTGCCGTGCGCGAAGTAGGACAAACAGGGGGGGGGGCGTCGATTGGTGTCGGGGTATTCCGCAGTGGGAGATGGGTCGGGGGTCCGGATGCGGACGAAGGCAACGAGAAATGGGTGGTTGCGTAGCCCAGGGACGGGGGCGCCAGATGGAGTTTGCGAAGTACAACACGTTTTTTTTTTCATTTCTGGTGGAGTATGGGTTCTGTACAAAGGGCAATATGTTTTTTCGACGGAGGCAAAAAACTGCACGTACTGTAGCACACGTTGGAAGGACCACTGCTCGCGATATCATTGCCTATCGGTGTGGATTGATTTTTCTGCCTCTCACTCTCTCTGATGGGCGTTTTTTTTGTTTTTGTCATTCCGCTCCTCGTTCGGTGTACAAGCCTTGCGAGACAAGCGCTCGTTTTCGCGAATGAATTTGGATTTGATCTTTTTTTTGGGTTCATCGTCCTTGCGGTCCACCGGCTTCGTCGTCCTCAGAGGTAACCGGGCTTGCTCTGTAGGGGGTTGGGGGGGGGGGGGGGGGGTTTGGGGCAACCCCCCCCAAAAATTTAAAAATGGGCGAGTGGGACACCGCTGGGAAA